TTTTATTCCCCCCTCCCTTGTCGGTGGCGCCAGCCAGGACATGGTGTCGGAGCCAAGGCAATGCTTGTACAAGTGCCGTCCGGTCTACGGAGAACATGGTCCAGCCATTGCAATCGGCTCCGTTGTATGTGCGTTGAAAGACGGGCAACGTGGTATCGATTTCTGAGGTCCGAGTTTGAAACTTTGTCCTGCTAGTTTACCTACAGGGTGAATCGAGAACACCAGTGATCGAAGACCTCACCAATCATCGGATGTCTTCAGCTCTCAGTGGCCAGGTTTCGAAGCCGTATAGTAGGACTGGTCGAACTGCTGTGGTAAACGCCCTGAGCTAGGTTTTGGGACTGATTTCTTTCCGGTGCCATTGGGTGGTTCGGAGCTGCAGAAATGTCGTTTGGGGCGTGTCGATGCGTCACTTTACATCACCTTTAGCTTGTCCATTAAATAGGATGGTTGACTCAAGGTACTTGAAGTCCGATACGATTTTTATTGTCCAATCATCCAGTTGCAGGGGGCGTTCCGCTTGATCAGGTGGAGTAGCGAACATCTTAGTTCCTAACAAAACTAAGGTCGACCTTAGAGGCAAATCTTTTGATACGGTTGAGAGCTGTTTGCAAGGCGGTCAGGTCCTCTCCAAGCACTACCACGTCATCTGCAAATTCGAGGTCGGTAATCCAGCAATCCGCAAAACTTGGATGCCTTGGTAACCCTAGATTGCCCGACGCAGAATCCCATCAACAACGAAGTTAAGCAACACTGGCGATAGCCGGCATCCTTGTCTTACTCCTGACCTCAGACCGAAGAGATGAGACTCTTCGCCGTAGGCACGGATACGGGATTTGGTTTGGGTGTGTACTACGATCTCACTATATTGATCAACTTTGCAGGGACACCATCTGCAAGTATTATCTTGCACAGTGACTCGCGGTTCACTGAATGGAATACGGCGCGAAATTCGATGAAGCATGTAGCGGTGGGGCGCTGAAACCTGTATAGGTGTTCCAGAATTCGCCTTAGGATGAAATTGTGACCGATACATCCTTTGTCGGGTTGGAAGCCTCCTTGACTTGGCCGAGTACATGCATGCCTCACTTTAGCACAACGGTTAAGCACGAGCTAGTCAAACGGTTTTGCAGCCACGTCTAGCAGAATGATGCCCCGATAATTCTGTCATAGTGTTTTGTCGCTCTTCTTGGGTAACAGAAGCAAACCCGAGGTGTTCCAATGAGTTGGAAATGTTTCGGCCTCCCAAATAAAGTGAGAGAGTGAAGCGGCTTGGTGACCACAGGAAGGCATTTCTTATATATTTCCGTCGGGATTCCGTCTTCGCCAAGGACCTTGCCGGACTTCAAGCGATTGATCACTGCGACTATTTCTTCTACCATTGGAGGATCACTGTGAACCTCGTATTGGGACGCCAATCGGGATGAATATCTGTCGGATCAACCAGTGGATAACTGAGAAGTTGACTAAAATGTTCTACCTATCTGGTCAGTCTACCGTTGACATCAGCACCCCGGTGGAGTCGCGCAGAACGGGTTGTAAGGATTGCCTCCTGCCGGACGTTGATCATACGAGACGAAAGAGGTCTCCGAAGTGACATGCACCGGCTGCGGTTTCCATCTTGATCGCTATTCCGCTCCAATAGTTGCGCCGATCTGCTTTTAGGGCGGGTTGCTTCGCCGGAGTCGCTGGTCATTGTGATGGCCAGTTAGATGGGCGTCCCTAGCCAGGGTTGAGAGACGTATGGTTTTCTCTGATATTCAATCTTTGTAGCAGCGTTTCGTGGTACCCAGTTTGTTTAGTGCAGCTTTTATCCTGGACGATTTTACATCAGTGGAGTCTGCTAGGTTGACGGGTGGAGCAGACTCATTTGCCAGTTGGGTTTAAATTTCATCCAATCAGTGTTTTCGATTTATCTCTACACTCCAATGGGCCCACGTGGATGCGATTTGGAGGGGTGGTCTTAACACAAGTAGTCAACCGAAGGCGAAGTTTCGCACGAACCAGCATGTGATCAGAGCCACCTCTGTTACCAGCTTTGGCACAGCGATACGATCTACAATCATCTACGTATGAGATCCATTATGACCGTATCAAGATATGGTCGATCTGGTGGGCTGTTATGCCGTCGCTGGAGTACCAGTTGAGATGATTCCTGGGGTGATGGAAACATGTGTTGGTTATAAATAACCGGTTAAAATTGGAGAAATTAATTAGCCTGTCACCGTTTTCGTAGCGATGGCTTGGTCCAATTTTCCCAATTATTTTTCATTGAAGGTCCTTGCCCACATGTTCAAACATTCCAGTCTCTCTCCACGATAAGTACACCTCTCTTGGGGACGAGGTTAACTACCTCCTGAAGACTGCCGTAAAACTCGTCCTTCACTACGCTATCGGATGGTGCAGTGGGGGCGTAGACTGCTACTATCGACCTTTGTCACGGCACCGTCATTAGGCTTATGTGGCTTTTAAACAGGGGCCAGGTGACCAGCCTGAAACCAACCACACCCTTGGTCGTGCCGCCGCTGTCCGTTGCGGTATATCACAACTTATTAACAGCTAACCTTCTTCGGTGAAGGTATCCTTCTATTCACAACCCGGGGATGGGCCTGGTAGAATTCAGCGCTGCTTAACCCGAGGGTATCTAGGGCATAGTATCGAATGCTGTCACAAGATTCGGTCGGTAGGAATCCCCATCTCACTCAGACTTGTTTATAAGTCTGGACCAACTTCTATACGGGAGCATAGTACATCGGCGTAACTACTGTCATATCTCCGACACTCACATATGCATTTTACTACCTCTTCACTATTATTGTTGAGCATCATTCAATAATTACCCTGCGAAATCGGTTACAACTTTATTCTTAAACCACTAGTTATTGACCTTTGGTTCTCTAACTTCAGTGAGAGTAGAACACATTAGTAGACGCGTTAAGATAGTTAACGGGGAAAGAACGAGGCTTTACCCACCCTTGGAAGAACTGCAGCTTTTCCATCAGAGCGTGATGTACTGTTTCTTCAACTCACGCATACAACAATCCAGTGAACCTAGGCCATCGTCACTAAAAGAGCTTCCAGGTTTTACTCCATGCCACAGGTTTTGACCAGAATGAGTTGATGTTCTCCGCACAATGACATCAAATGATACCATCTCATCCCATTCTGCACAGCCCAAATGCTAGTTTTGCGGTTCTAATTTTCGATGTAGTCTGCGATTCTTCCTTCCTCTCACTCTGACTGTCGAAACCAGGTGAATCAACCTGTTCTACATGAATTACCAGTCACTGATCAACTTGGCTCGAGACTCGGCAGTCAATTGACCTTTTACAGGCGAAAACATAACCAGACAGCATCGGTGCTACTCCGTGACTGCTTATTCAAAGAAGTAATACCCAGCCAGTCGTGAAAACGAGCCAAAGTGGTCTTTCTCTTACGCTCGGTAGCGTCGAGCTTCGTGGTTTGTCGACTTGTAATAGCATACGCCACCCCCAAACTCAGGGCTTTCAGCATGACAAACACACAATACAAACTCGAAAAAGGACTAAGGTGGATTCGAATGGCGATTACAAGCAATTGATTCCAGCCGAGTTGTCAGTGTGCATGTATCCGATCATACGACCTACAATGTCAGAGGAAGTGTTCGCAGTGGTCAAGGGTTGTATTTTATCCGCGGCAGAAATGACTGTAAGCCGAGTCTATTTTGTGCGTTCCGACAATTTTGCAATTCATCAGGACTAACCTTGACAGGCCACACGTGACGTAATCCAAATTAATTCATATTAAATGATTCACAAGTAAAACCCGAACTGTTATCAACCAGTTAACGAAGCATCGAGAACAATGTTGTTTGCTATAACCTGTTTTCCCCCGCCCTGTCTTTTCATTCCGAAATTTTTATACAAACAAACAGCAGGGTGAGAGTGTGTTTGTACATGTTTCGCATTGCAAAAAATATATCCCAGAAAAGAGTTCGTCTATAAACAGTTGGTGTCGAGCTGGCTGAAAACAAGTCCAGATATGGGTAGCAATCGTGTTGGTGATGAGGATAAGATGAAGAAAGAGAGAGCAGAGTGTATAAACTGTGGTTAGAGTGATGAAATAGAAACGAAATTACCTACGGAAATAAAATCGGACTCAAAATACATACATATCAAAAAGCGCTGAGCACGAGATGAAGACTGGAGGAGATTGAATTCAAAACAAGGCTCGCGAGGAGAGTAGGGTGGAACAGGGCGTGGGAGCGAATAATGACCGGATCACCGAGGGACTGTGTACAATTTGAGTGATTCGCTTTACGCATGTGCATCGTTCATGCTGTACTACACGCGCACACGTAGTGCCGGTAAGGATTCAGCAAGTGAGAGCATGTCTGTGTGTCCGTCAAGCGAAAAAGGGGTACGATGATAGGGTGGACAGAAACAAGCGTAACCACCAAAAAAGAGCGTTCAGAGGGGCAGATCAAATGCGAAAAGAGTCCGCTTTGCCATCAATGTGTCGCAGTCGGAGATAACAATCTGTTCCAATTGAGCGAACGGTGTACAGATCGACATCACCACCCAGAAAACGAGCATATGCACGAGAAGTGGGTA